AAACACATAAACTTACTTCGGGTTTCTCTTATTACCGATTCTGAACCGTCCTAGAACTGTGATGCGTATGCGCAGAAGGAAATATGAAGACATTATTTCATTTGCACAGGCGCTGCAGTGTTCTTGGACGGTTCAGAATCGGTAATAACAAGAACCCGAACAAAGCTATAAACTAACATTTTCAGATTGTTTACAAATTTATTTTAGCAAATTTTCCTCTATTATGCATAGAATTGGTTAAAAAAGTAACAGAAAATAGCAAAAACCTTAAAAATATGAGAAATTAAGAAAAATTCGATATTGAAATTATTTTCCGTTTTTCTGAAAAACGGTAAGAGACCGCCAAGAAAAAAGTTCAGATTCGTAATCTACGACTTCAAAATAGGGTGTATACCAATTTTGGTGAAAATCGGACGATTTCCAGTTTTCCCAATAATTACCAAAAATGTAAATTTTTTATTCATTTTTACCTTGCCCCCCCCTAATTTCATTCTTCCGGCGCCCATGGATACAGGTATGATGGCGGTCTGTTGAACATAAAAAGATTCAGAGCAAAAACACGTATAAAATTTATCACAGAACTTCAATACGCTGATGACTGCGCTCTAGTTGCAAAAATATTACAGCAATTACAGGAAATGCTGAACATATACAGGGTTGTTCACCACATACGACACGGAGCATTGTAGCTAAACGATGAGATTTTTACAAATTGTAAGTTTGGGGTTCGTTGAAGGACTATTAGAGCTACAAGTTAAAAATATTTTTACAAGATACAGAGTGTCCCAAATAAATAAAAAATATCAAAGTTGTATTTTTTTAAATGGAACACCCTGTATATTATTACATTTTTAGTTTCTACGATTAAAATAAAGGTAAATTTGATTAAGGTTTATTATACTTAAACATTACGTTTTTGAAATATTTTCAATTTTGTGAAATTGCAGTAAAAATTTTAAAGCTTTATTTCTCCAAGGGTATCAATGTTTTTAATACTAAATATTTAATGAAGTTTATTTATTGATCAGTTATTGTGTTGCAATAATAAAAATAATACTACTTTATAGAGAGTGTCTAAAAATTTACTTTAAATAATTATTAACTTCAAACGGCAACAACTTCTTTAATTTAAATAGAATGCCCTGTATATTTTAGGAGAATCAGATGCACAATTAAATTGTCTATCAAATTGTATTATACCATTTTTACCTATCCCTTGAAGTTTCTCGTAGAAAATGCATTTTCTTATAATTTAGACCTCATTTATCAATATATCTATGGAATATTGACATTTTAGATTGTTTTAAAGCAACAAATGTACAAAATGTACAGACTAGTAATATTATCGTTTTTAGCAAAACGATAATATTACTAGCCCGTTTGTATGCAAAAAAGAAAACTATTTAAATCTTTATAAAAGAGTATACCATTAATTAAATATAACACCATTATTTCCGCCCATATACTAATTAATTACATACTTAATTGTGTTCGTTAATAAATTATTATAAATAAATGTGGATTTTTGAGTTAGAAATCAATATAATAATAAGTTATCAAATTAAAGTCTTTGTTGTTATAAATAAGCATTTATTAAAAAATGAGATATCATTTTTAAGGTGTTACTTTTTATCACACTGTCTAATGCCCATACAAAATTCAGTATTTTAGTATTTGGAGCAATTATTATTAATCAACGCAAACACTCAGTTAATGTAGTTTGAATACTGGAATCATATTAATTGGACCTCTTTAACAAATATTTAAACAGTTTTTTTTATTTTTTAATGAAATAAACGAATTATATCGACAATATTAGTATCTGTACTCTTTAAAAATTTGGTACATCTTTAAAAATAATCTAAGATGTCAATAGTCCATGGGTATATTGATAAATAAGTTCTAAATTACAAGAAAATGCATTTTCTAGAGAAACTTAAAGAGATAGGTAAAAAATGGTATAATATAATTTGATAGACAATTAAATTGTGCATCTGATTCTTGTAAAATATACAGGGTGTTCTATTTAAATTAAACAAGTTATTGCCGTTTAAAGCTAATAATTATTTAAAATAAATTTTTAGACACTCTGTATAAGGTAGTATTATTTTTATTATTGCAACACAATAACTGATCAGTAAATAAACTTCAGTAAATATTTAGTATTAAAAACTTTGATACCCTTGGAGAAATGAAGCCTTAAAATTTTTACTGCAATTTCACAAAATTGAAAATATTTTAAAAACGGTAAGGTTTAAGTATAGTAAACCTTAATCAAATTTACCTTTATTTTAATCGTAGAAACTAAAAATATAATAATATACAGGGTGTTCCATTTAAAAAAATACAACTTTGATATTTTTTACTTATTTGGGACACTCTGTATTTTGTAAAATTATTTTTAAATTGTACCTCTAATAGTCCTTCATCGAACCCAAAACTTACAATTTGTAAAAATCTCATCGTTTAGCTACAATACTCCGTGTCGTATGTGGTGAACAACCCTGTATACCTAGGTATACGAGACTTTGGGCCTTAAGCTGAACATCGATAAAACTAAAATCATGTGCACTCCCCCGGAAAATCATAACAGTGCTATAAAAATCGGAGAAGAACTATTGGAATACGTAGCGGAATTCAATTACCTTGGCAGTTTAATTTCGGAAAAAGCCAATATGGACTCTGAAATTCAGCACAGAATTAGCGGCGCCTCAAGAGCATTCTGGAAATTAAAAGACAGCGTTTTCTACAATCATGATTTGAGCACAAAAACGAAACTTGCAGTGTACCGAGCAATAATAATCCCCACCATGTTATATGGAAGCGAAACCTGGGTACCGTACCGCCGACACACATAACATCACGTATCGGGCTTTTCAGTCACAGAAAAACTCATGAAAGAAAACGCCTTGCATAATCATCTTCTGATGCGTGTCAAATACTCGTCAGCGAGTAATAGCGGTAGTAGTAGTAGTTGGCTATGCGGGCCCAAGTTATCCCTGCTAATTTCCTAATATCATGGTCCCATTTCAAGTTTGATCTTCTTGTAGGTCTCTTAATTCCTTATGGATACCATGCTGCAATTTTTGTGGTCCATCTGTCCTTCTTGCCAGGTGTCTTGCCCATTGCCACTTGACGGATTTGGTTCTGTGGATGACATCTATTACCTGGGCCTTTTGTCGTATCCACTCTATTCTTTTACGATCTTTCTTGGTTATTCCCAGCATATTTCATTCCATTGAGCGTTTTGCAACCTGTAGTTTCTTTTCAATGTTCGTTTTAAGTGATCAGGTTTCGCATGCATAGGTCATGACTGGTAGTACACATTGATCGAATGTTTCCTTCTTTAGATAAAGTGGCATTCTAGGCTTGAATATGATTGAGTTTTTTCCATACGTACTCCATGCTAACTTAATTCTTCTGTTGATTTCTGGTAATAGAGATACCGAGCTGTGTATTAGTTTTCCTAAATATATATATTTCTATTTCCAGTGTTGTGTCATTTATTAGAATAGCTTTTCTGTATACTAGGTTGTTGTGAATTTCTTTAGTTTTTGCTAAATTTATTTTGAAACCTACTTTATTGCTGGCTGTACTACCAAACCAAATAATTAATTTTTTTGAAATTTTTAGTGATGAGATTCGTGGAGGACTATCTACTAAAGCTACAATTTAAAATTATTTTCAAAAGGTACAGAGTGTCCCAAATAAATAAAAAATATCAAAGTTGTATATTTTTAAACGGAATACCCTGTACACTACATTTTTAGTTTCTACGATTAAAATAAAGGTTAATTTAATTGGTTTACGGCACTTTAATCTTACCGTTTTTGAAATATTTACGATATTGTGGAAATGCAATAACAATTTTAATGCTTCATTTCTCTAAGCGTATTTAAGTTTTTAAAGCCAAATATTTTACTGAAGTTTTGCTATTTACTAAATTTGTGCTTGTGACTTGAGCTGTGTATTAGTTGTCCCAAATATATATTTTTTTCTACCATTTCTTTGTTATTTATTAGAATATATTTTCTGTCCACTCGTTGTACATTACTTTAGTTTTTGTTAAATTTATTTTGAGACCTACTTTATCGCTGGCTGTGTTTAATGCCGTTAATTTGTGCATGTAGTTCTTCACGACTTCTTTCTTCTTCTGCATTTTCTTCATTAGCATAGGCAATTAGGTCTATATCATCAGCGAATCTTAGATGGTAAAGATATTCTCCATCTATTTTTAATCCTTTATTGGCCCAGTCCAGTTGACGGAAGATTTCTTCTAATGTAACTCTCTGTAAACAGCTTTGGGGATATCGCGTCTCCCTTTCGTACTCCTTTGCCAGTTGGGAACGCGGTTGTTTTAGAGGTCATATTGAATTTTATATTATAAAGTTATCTATCTTTATAAAACTCAATGAAAACTATTTGGTTTAGAAGTACGAAATTTGGTACAAAAATTCTTTGAGTGACTAAGTGGACACTAAGAAGCGATTTTTAAAAACTCAACCTCTAAAGGGGTGAAATTAGGGATAAAAGTTTGTATAAAATTTGATAAAAGCTGTTTTATGAATTTGAAATTTTGCGAGGTTCCATAAGTAATGTAATTAAGCAACAAGGAGCAATTTTTTAAAGTTTACTCTCTAAGGGAGTTAAAGTTTGTATAACATTTTTTTAAAATTTATTGTAGAGGTATAAAATTTTGCACAGAGGTGAACCGAAAGCAGAAAAGGAATTATGTCGATAATTTGATCACTAAGAAGCGATTTTCGAAAATTCATCTTTTAAGAGGGTGATGGTTAATGTTAGAGATGAAAATTTGAATAATTTGTAAATCTATTTTAAGAGTATGAAATTTTATGCAAAGGTTTCTTAAGTGACGCAATTGAGTATGAACGAAATTTTGATATACTGTATGACTAAAAAGTTTAATATCTCAGCAGGGAGCTTTTCCTATGATAGTTTAATATATCTAATATATTTTTGATTTCCTCATTGAGGCTTACCTGGTGACGATATGTATATATCCCCTGTGTTGTGATCTATACTAACTACGTCGTTGTATATTTTCTGGAAATTTTGGATGGAGTAAGTCATGTTTGCGCTTCCTTCGCCAGCTTGTATTCTGGATAGTGCCAGGTGGTGTAGTTTGTCTTCTACAACGGGTATCACTCCTTCCATATTAGTCATGGTGAAATAAACGGCGTTCACTGGAAAGAAAAACGTATATTTGTTAGAGACATGCAAATTTACCAAAATACAAATTTAAATAAGTTTTTGTATTTTTCAGAGTACCAATCAACGCCTGAATTAAATTGCTTAATGCGATTATTTATAATAAAAATTGAATAAAAATAATTATTGGTAAAAAGCCCACATGATATAGGATTGATCGACTTAGTAACCGTCAATTCGAAGTTGTTCAAAGAACGTCTAGAAAAGCTGAACAAATCAGACAAAGAAAATACGGTCCTCCTACTCTGGGTGCCCACCAAAAGATAGAAGGTAACACAAAAGTAAACGGTCCAGATAGAAAAGAAGCGAACACTCCACTAACTGAACCACAACTATTCTGCTTCCCAAATGGAAAACAACTTAAAGCCGAACTCTAGAAGCTGGAAGCCTCCATCCGTAAAATTTCTCAGGACTTCAAATCAAAGATTTTCCTTGATTTAAGTAAGAACAATCTTCAAATTGTCACGGGATTTTTAACAGAACACTGTCTCCTCAATGAAGAAGCATGGCAAATGTAGGTTCTGTGGGGAAAATGGGGAAACACCAAAACACCTCATCACTGAGTTCGCCAAGACGACAACCATTCGGGCCATAGACTTTGATACGACTGATATCGGAGATGGAGAACTAACTTTTGTAAAGCCGTCGTAGCTATAGTAAAACTTATCTATCATCATTACAGGATACGACAGTAAAAAACGGCAATTTTAAAAGCAAAATACGTGATAATAAATGACATTTGACCTTTGGACGAAAATATTTTTGTCTTGTAACTTTTATTTTCGTATGTCTAACTCTATTTTGTAACGGGATATTTTTTAACGTAAAAATATTTGCTTCCATTCAAGGTCTGCTCTATTATTCCACTAACTCTGATATATAATGGAGCCGAATGATTCGACATTTTTTCCCTCGTAGTGTTTTATCATTTCGTTTCTTTTATTGTCATTGGCAGTGGCATTGGCATTAAATAATATATCGCTTATAAAAGACAAAGAGCAAACTACGCTATTTAGATTTTTCAACAGTATCTTTTACTGCCCAGAGTTCTTGGTAATTCTTTTAAATTAAAAATTTAATTTTAAAGTTTAATTAAACCTTCCCCAGAGCTTTGACTTGTATACAGTGTGAATAAGCCCCCTCCCCCCACCCCTGTATTCCACATGGTTAAACATCACCTCACTTCTAAAACGACTGGTTGCTGAATTTGTACCACTACGAAGGAATGTAGCAGGTAAATATAAATCTTACAGTAGAGCTGTAAGTACAGCAAATGCTATAAATGAATTTTGGAGGTGCAGTATTTGTTTTGTACACAAAAATGTTTACAGAGATGCTGTGATTTGGGTACAATATAACCTGCAAACTGAACTCACAGAAGTAGCCATCAAAACAGCTAAAAATAATGTTTCGTAAGATGAGTTTATTAACATGATATTATGTCGATGATGATATTTATTAACAAGTTAAGGCCTGCTGTGCAAAATTGTATCAGAAATGAGTATTTATGGAGCTTAACCAACCAAAGACAAGTGTATAATCATAAAGAAAGATAATAAAATGTTTTTCTCTATGTGTATAATGAGATTAAACTGAGAAAATGGAGGTGGACTGATCACACATTAAGGAGAAGCGGTAACACCATTGCTGGCAGAGCTATTTAGTGGAACCCACAATAGTAGAAGAAGAGCAGGTAGTAGAAGAACTGATCGTCTAAGACCACACATGGCAAATGGCAATAAACAATTAAAAAGGAGATCGAAGCAGTAAACCGATCATGGCGAGATGTCAAATTAATTGCAAACAACCGAATCCTGGAGAGCATTTACTGAAGCTCTCTGCTCTAGGTGTAAAGAACAAAATGAATGAAAAATAAAGCATGCTTTCCACTAGAGATACAGATAGGGACACAGTTAAAGGAAGGCCTTCATCCTAGGACCTAATCCTAAAACCACAAAGAATGCTGAGCAGGGATAAAATGCATTCTTATGTCATCTTCTTAGCCTTTACTGGAAAGTCTGAGAGAGGTATCCTGAAACAGCAGAGCACATAACATGCCGCAGCGAAGCTTTGGAACGCAAGTGACTCGTTCTATTTGGGAAAGCAAAGCTAGAATCGGAAAAACTATGCTCCCAAACTATATCCCAGTGCCCTACACAAGCCTGTAGGACACTGGGACAGTAGACTGGGTTCACAGATAGAAAAGGGACCAAAACAATAGTTATAGATTGTTGATTGTATGGGAAGGGGGTAGTTAATCACCGCGACCTTATAGATTTATTGTGCTCCCTTGAGTTATCTTTAGATATAATTCATCTACAGTTTCAGGGCTCTGATAAAAGCCAGTATGTGAGTTGATTTTACGGGGGTTAGTTCTCCATCTCCGATGTCAGTTGTACCAAAGTTTATGGTACCAAAGTTCATAGTCTCGGCACACTCACAGTGCATTCGCCGTTGTTTCTTAGCTTCAACTTGAGGTGTTCATTGGAGAGATAGTGAATGTTTAAAAACCCCGTTACAATCCGAAGATTGTTCTTACATAAATCAAGGAAAACCTTTGATTTTTTCCGTCGTACGTCCTGAGAACCATAGACCATACCATATTGAGAAAATAAAGTCAAACGATTTGTTTCTTCAGTGTGTTTACTGTATAGTCATATTTATTACTCTGAGTTAAGTAAGCAAGACCCGCAACAGTGATTCGCGGGTCGTATGTTTCTTTTCCGATGTCAAACGTAACCCTAGATTGTTTGTTAGCATTCGATACCTGTCCCAAGGTACACAATAGGCCATTTCATTAGGTTCAACCCTTAATTTTGACGCGCCACCCCCACCAGCCCTGTCTATGTGTCTCTCATCGCTGTAATAATGAGCGTCATAGACGGCTGGAAATGCGAGATGCCATTAAGGCAACTGTACACCTCGGTTTTATCGTTTGGCGGTTAATAAAAACTCGATATATTATTAGCTTGTTAGGTAGGGATGGGTGAGTTTGTAAAAGTGTCGATAGTTTTGATATAAAGTAATTTGGTAGTAAAGTTAAAAAACGTATGTTATCAGATTAAAAAGCTTCAATTCACACAATATAATTTTAAATCATAATATAACGAATATTTAAGAAAAAACAGTTTAATGCAAATAATTTACGACCTATACAAAACATCAAAAACTTTTATAGAGTTAACTTCTAGAGAATGAGAAGGCTCTATAAAATGTGATAAGTAGTTGCGTCAAAAAAAATGAAAAAATAATAAAATTTATCATCAATACAAATTTAACATTGAATAACTTTAGAACCAATAAATATATCAAAAAATTATAAGAGGCTTTTTTGTAGAGCGTTCAATTCTCTACAAGAATATGTTTCGACCCATTTAGTCTGAAAACTCGTTAAGAGTTTTCGGATTCCAAATTTGGAAATAAAAATTCCCAAGCTAATCACATAGAAAATGCCGTTTTCCGATTTCCGGTACCTCTTGATATTAAGAGCTCAAAATTTCACAGTATTTTTGTTTCGTCATTTTCAACAACATTTTCGATATAATTAAAAAAAATAGTCGAATTTTTTAGAAGCAGTCTAAGCATTTGAAGCATATCATAAAGAAGTTCGACTTGTTATTAGCTGCTCAGTCAGTAAGAATTTTTCTCTTTGACGGTTGTGCTCTACGATGGAACAGACTGGAAAGGCTGCCATTCACTAGGCGATAAACGAGCAATCCAATCGAGCGATCTAGTTGCTTTCGATCAAATTGTCCAAAGATCTCCAGGTTAGTGCGTCATTTCAATCAAATTAAAAGCGATATTGTGGTTGTCAAGCAAACTTTTGATTTACAGTACGGAAGGTGAACTACAAAAAGTAAAACAGTTACTACTAAAAAACAGTAACTAAAATTAATTTCCAGAAAAATTGATTGACAACCAAATTGCTTGAATGTCGCCTTATAAATGGTCCGTTTCAAAGCTCCGTCACGTTGGAACCCGCTTTCAAGTAAAGTTTTCGATTTTTGGCTGATTATTAACTACAAACGATGCAATTGATTGTAGTAAATTCAATTTTTTTGTAGTACTAATAATTAGCCAGAAAAAGTAAACAATTGAGCGCAATGTAATAAAGAGAAAAAATATTGTTTTAACAAAGGTCTAAAAACCTTCAAAATCGTTTGTAGTTTTATGTAGTAGCAAAAAAATTCAATAAAAGATTCTTGGAATTAGTGAATTATAGCAAAACTTGAAAATTAACGTAGTTTGAGATAATGTCTTTAGTTGTACACAAACTACAAACGATGCAATTGATTGTAGTAAATTTAATTTTTTTGTAGTACTAACAATTAGTCAGAAAAAGTAAACAATTGAGCACAATGTAATAAAGAGAAAAAATATTGTTTTAACAAATGTCTGATTAAATAGTAGTACTAATAATTATAAGCAACCAAATTTTTAAAGCAACCAAATTTCCAAGAAATTTAGAAGCAATTTTATCGCTCAACTTAGTTGCTACAAAATCGCCCAGTGCAGTTGAATGGGGGCCTTAAAGTAACTATTCCTAATGCTATTTTTTATGCTGGCTTCATTCATGCAAAATTAACATTTTACAACTGACATAAATATGTTTAGTTTCTGTTTTTTATTACTATCGATGTTTATGGCATTTTTATTAGGCGTAAAGTTTCTAGGGAAGAGTCGGTTAGTATAGAACATTAAGAATTATTGTTCGAGCTAACCTTAAATTAAAACCATCAAAAATGTATATACACTTATAAAAATGCATAACAATTATGTAGAATGTATGAGAGGAAGAAATTAAATCATCGCGACCTTACAGATCCATTGTGTCCCCCTTTCTTGAGTTATGTTTGTATTTGACTAAGAGTGGGTCCCAGGTGGGACCCTCCACTGCGGCCGCGAGGGCCTATTGTGGCTCTTCTTGAGTTATAACTCATCATACAGTCTCAAAGCTTCGACAAAAGCCAGTATT